TCCAGATAATGCAAATGCAGATTTCTTCAGCAGATTCTCTATTCATACAAGAGATGAAGAGGACCCTGACCCCGATGAACACTATGTGTTTGGTACAGGCGTCAGTAGCTTACCTCTAACTGCTGTGGAAATTGGTGACCTTATTAAGAAAGACAAGGTACTTGTTAAAGTGTATGAGTACATTTCTTCAGGTTGGCCAATTTATTGTCCTGATTCCGAGATAAAACCTTATTGGAATCGTTGGAAAGATCTTTCCTTACAAGATGGCTTTTTGTTGTGGGGCAGGCATGTGGTTATTCCTCTCAAACTACAAGGGCATTTGTTAGATGAGCTGCATGAGTGCCATCCTGGATTGTGTAGTATGAAGGCACTTGCCAGATCATTTGTCTGGTGGCCTGGTATTGACCAGGACGTCGAAGACAGAGTCAGATTTTGTGAAAACTGTGTCAATACCCAACGCACTCCTAAATCAGTTCCTCTGCTGTTCTGGTCTTGGGCTACTGAGCCCTGGCAAAGAATCCATGTAGACTTTGCTGAAGCAAAGGGTCAACAATTTCTTATCATTGTTGATAGTCACTCAAAATGGTTGAAAGTCTTTCCCATGACCACCACTACTGCAAGTATCGATGTCCTTAGAGCCATATGTGCTAGATACGGATTACCTCATAAAGTGGTTAGAGTGGTTAGTGATAATGGTCCGCAGTTTGTGTCTGATGAGTACCAGACATTTTTAAAATGAACAGAATAAAACTCACCCTAGTTCCTCCCTACCACCCAGCTAGCAATGGATTGGCGGAGACATGAGCGGACATTCACAGGTATGTATAAAGCTTATGGCAATGCAAGGTCCGTGCAACATAGAGTGGCTGATATTCTATTCCGATACAGGAATACTCCACATTCCATGACAGGTAAGACCCCAGCAGAGTTGTTTCTAAAAAGAAAGCCCTGGACAATTCTGTCCATGGTCAAGCCAAGTTTAAAAAGCCGTGTAGAAAGCAGGCAAGCAGTATCAAAGAGGGTGCTCATCCAAAGTTGCGAACCTTTGATCTACATCAGCCAGTCAGGGTTAAAAATGTCAGAGGGGGAAAGGAGAAATGGATACTGCGTACAATTATCGCCATAAAGGACCCAGAGAAAATCTCGTTAGAGTCCCAGGTAATAACAGTACATTTGCGCATGCAAATCATTCAATACCTGATGATGCAAGAGAACAGAATGCTAAAAAGAAGAACATTGAAAGAGAAATTGTAGAGTGCAATCCCACTCCTTTGTCCCAAGAGAATTCTGTGATGCCCCAAGTAGAAACATGCAACCAATCTGACCAGTTTCCTAGAGTAGGTACAGAATTAGCTGAAGTTCCTGCTACAGTGGTACAGAATAATTCTAATCCTGACACCACTATTTTTTTTTGTTTTCACATGATACTGTGACGCTTCCCAATAGCTTGTTGACAGAATTTGAGTTTGAACATCACTCAAGCTTGTTTCGTTCATATCATTGTAATCTACACTTTATGATCTCCAACCACATTGTCTACCAACTTCACATATATGTACTCTTCAACACCAGACAGTTTCCTTTATTAACAACAAAAATTTTGCATTTGCTCTTTCGTCTAAAATGGGGCAGGTATACATTTACTGCCATTGACCAATCTTGGTCTAAAATCATGAATGTTTTGTGGGATTTGTGTAGCCAAGTGGTTAGAGTGCTGGTCCTATAACCTTGTGGTCCCAGGTTCATAAATCCAAATTGCCACCCACTGGATTTACCCTGAGTTCAAGTCCCTGTCGATACTTTGCTCATGTATGTAACTAACTGGTCTGACTCTTATCAATTCGGGTTTTTAACTCTGACTTGATCTCAATCGCAGACATTCGTTAAAGCCAGATTCAAATATTCCGTGTAAACCAGATGTATCTACAATTTTAATTCCCATTTGTTTTCATTTCAGGGCCTCAATGAAAGTTACTTCGTGTAAATCTAGGTTACCCTAGTAGAATGGAGAGTACTATAATTATAGCGGAGTAGTACGTGCAGCATAGCCCTATACTAATAAGAAATATTAGTACCTCATCAAGCCAAAACCATTTGGTTCGACGAGCCACCATACATCC